GAAAGAGAACAAGAAAAGAAGAAAAAAATGAACTTCTTCTTAGAGGAGCATTACACATGCTAAAAAAAAATGGAAGTATAATACAGCACTAACACACAGGAAAAAAAAGACCAATCAGCCTCAATTGAGTCAGAGATCTCAAAAAAAATCAAGCTCTACTCATAATTTCAAGGATACAGACAAAAAAAACAGACAGCCTCTTAATTAGTCATCCTATATGGAAAAAAAGGTCATTCCTTTCACATCAGTCATGCATTCTCTAAAAAAAAAGATGTGGTCTCCAAACGCAATTTTGCCAGATAAAAAAACCCAACATATAAAGAAGCATGTAAATTGTGAAACACCTCCTGTATATACTCCAGAGACTTATATAGCTTATGTAAAAAAAACCAGGGAGCAAATGATTCTGGGTTATTTATCAAAAAAAATTTCATTAGCTGAAGACATCCTGCAAGAGCAGTGCCAACCTTCAGGGAATCCCTAATCTAAAGAAGGAGAGAGAAAAAAACCTTGGAAGTACCAGTGTAAGCGAGGAGACATAAAAAAAATAAGCATGAACCTTCCAGTCTGATGGAGGACTGAAAAAAACTCATAGAGCCCTTGGACTGATTGGAAAACTACAAAAAAACCTAAGGAGCCCTCAATCAGACAGGAATGTTTAAAAAAAAGGCTTAGCTAGAATTTGGGAATCCCTACAGAGCAAAAAAAAGTGGAAATTAAGAAAAGACAGTGTTGGGCCAGAAAAAAAGGCTCACACCTGTAATCCTAGCACTTTGGGAGGAAAAAAAAGGGGGATCACTTGAGGCTAGGAGTCCAAAATCAGCCTGGGCAACATGGGGAAACCCCATCTCTATAAAAAAAAAAAAAAATTAGCTGGGCATGGTGGTGTGCACCTGTAATCAAAAAAACTCGGGTGGCTGAGATAGGAGAATTGCTCGAGTAAAAAAAGAGGAGGTTGCAGTGAGCTGAGATCATGCCATTAAAAAAAAGCCTGGGCAACAAGAGCAAAAC